CTTCCTGGATGATACCTTTGACATCCTCCCACAACTCATCTGGTCTTCGCTCATTAGTGTTCAAGGCCTCAAACCTGTTCCTGAGATGATTCTGACATTCAGGTGGTATGAAAGCAAAGTCATATTTTGGCTCCTGTGGATTTGGTTTAATTTTTCTCAGCTTCAGCTTGAACTTGCATATGAGTAATTGGTCTTCTGTTCCATAATCAGCCCCCGGCCTAGTTTTCACAGCTGATATTGAGCTTCTCCAGCGGTTCCTTCCACAAATGTAGTCAATCTGATTCCTATGCATACCATCAGGTGACGTCCAATTGAGTTCTGACTTATTTTTAATCAAGCAAACACAAGATAGCTGGGTAAGGCCATTAGATGTTATTGGTGATGTCAGTCTTCCCCTAAAATTAGGCCTGCAGACACCATAAATCTTGAATTTGCAGTTTGTTCTCTACTTTTGTTCACTAGGGTGCATTTGATTTTGCTGTTAAACAAAAAGAAGAAACGGCTGTAGTTAGCAACATTATGTGGTTCATTTGGGGAAGCTGCGATAAGAGGGATAATAAAAATTAACACATGCTGATGGGCAATCTCCTCCTGTGCAATTAATTGCCTCTGAAAACCTACTGGAGGGTCAGTTATGAGTCAGTTCTGACTTGATGGTAAATGACAACAACAATGAGCATAAAGATACAGGTGGATGATCGTAACAAGTATATGAAAACATAAAGAGTAATTAATGATGTGAAAGAAAACGTAAACCTATTCAGCGAAATATGATATTCTTGTCAGGTGTCTGGGGCAAGTAGTGACATTAGCATCTGTAAACACATATCCGTCTACAAAAATATTTTTTAAAAAATTTCACAAGGTGATACTAAGGAAAACAAGTAGCAACTGGCAGAACTAATTTTTCCAAAATTCTGGAAACTTTTCAAAAGATTATAGTAACTAAATGAATCTTGAATTAAGAAAAAGAGAAACACATAAATGACAGACTAAAAAAAATCAAACTCGTTGAACTTGAAAACTGACTAACACTTTATACATGTCTCTGAGGTGGTAAACGGTGCAGGAGGATATTGCCCATCATTGTTGAGTGGTTGATTGATAGATTTGAAACTCCAGAGAGTCAAGACCTATTATGGGCCACTAGAGTGTCCAGCATATATGACAGAACAGCTTTATTATTTCAGTTGCCTGTATCTACCCTTCTCAAAGCTTGTTGATCCAACTTAATGAAGCAGTGATGAGCACTCCCTCTGAGGGAGCCTTATATCTAGTCTAGACAGAATCCAGCAGATTATAGTTATGTATTATTGTGTTTGATTTAACCTGTCTGGGGACTGCCTAAAAGATTGAAACAAGGCACTCATCCTGATTTGATTAGTCTTGAAGATCAAACGGGGCTGAAAGAGCAGATACCTATTTTGGCCTTTGCCTGACACCTCCTGGTGTTCAGTTCCATTAAAGTATACAAGAGACCCTTGAAAATGGAAGCTAATGCTTCTTTAGTAAATGATAACTGTCAAAGACATCAGCTATATGAGGGAATTTAGAAAGCCATACAGATTCCCAGTGCAAGATTCATGCTCAAAACTTACTTGACAATACCCTACATTTTCATCTTGGTGACTTCTTGGTTCAAATCAAGCCTGGACAAGTGATGAAAGAAGATCCTGGGGAAAACCAATTTGCAGAGAAAGGGAAAGTTTTGTTTTCCTCTGACATTCAATATACTATCTGTCAATAGACTAATTATATGCAAGCTAAGAAACAAAGACTTCAATGTCCACACATGACTGGGAAAATAGTCTACAAAAACAGAGAGTACTACTAAATAAATAGATTACTATAGCTATCAACAATTCAAAACACAACACAGACTAGCAAACCTTGAGACTGGAAGAATCTGAATTCCAGGATTATTACCATATTCAAACACTTTAGTTTCAACAACAATAAAAAAAATTCCAAGGTATACAAAGGAAAAGGGCAGATAGTTTATGCACAAGACCAAAATAAGTGACACAAATTATCCCTGTAGAAAGATAGATAGGGGGCTTAGGAGACAAAAACTTAACAGCAATAATATTGTATTCAATATTGAATAAAAAAAGACAATTTCGAGATTATATAGTCAAAGAACTAAAATAGAGTATGGACAAAGAACTGAAATGAAGTAGATCTAAAAAAAAAAGATACAGGAAACCTAGAATATCAATAAAAGAGAAAACATTAGCAAATGTAATTACAATGAATAACTGGGTCAGAAAAGCACAATAACTGAAATTAAAAATCTCAGTGACTGGGATCATTGGGATGGGAGTGTCAGAGACAGTGCGATTGGCACAGGACAGAGCGGAGTTTAGGGCTGTTGTACATAGGGTCACTATGAGTCGCAGGCGACTCGGCGGCACATAACAACAACAACAACATTCAACAGCAGATTTAAGGTTTCAGGGAAAAGAATTAATGAATTTAGAAATTTTAGAGACAATTGAAATGACAAAATCTGAGGAAGAAAAATAATAGCAAAAAGTGAGGGGGAAAGGAACAGAGCCTGAAATATTTGTTGAACTCAATCAGTTCACCATAACTATCAAACATGAATTCTATATTCAGTAAAACTGCACGGCATGGTTTAAAATGGGGAAAGCTGTACATCAGGGCTATATCCTTTCTATACCTATCCAATCTGTCTGCTGAGCAAATAATTTGAGAGGCAAGACTTTATGAAGAAAAGTGTTGCATCAGGATTGGAGGAAGACTGAAAAACAACTTGCATTATGCAGATGACACAGTTTTATTTGCTGAAAGTGAGGACATACTGAGAGAATCGAGAACTTCAGAGACTCAAAGACTACAGCCTTCAATGTGGATTACATCTCAACATTAAGAAATTAAAAATCTTCACCACTGGACCAATAGGAAACATCATGATAAATGTAGAAAACATTGAAATTGTCAATCATTTTATTTTGCTAGATTCACAATCACCACCCTTGATACCAGTGCTTAGGAAATCAGGAGACATATAGTATTGGGAAATTATACTGACAAGGATCTTTCCAAAATCCTGAAACACAATGATATCACTTTCAAGATTAAAGTACACCTGATTCAAGGCATAGTCTTTCCAATCATCTGCTTTGCATCTAAGAGCTGAACAATGATTAAGGATGACAGGAGAAGAATCTATGCATTTTAGTTGTGGTATTGGAGAAGAGTATTGAATATTATACAGACTGTCAAAATAACAAATAGATATATCTTAAATAAAGTGCTTCCAGGGTGCTCCTTGGAGGCAAGGATAGTGAAACATCATCTCACATACTCTGGACATGTTACGAGAAGCTATTCCTTGGAAAGGGACATCATGCTTGGAAGTGTGGAGGGCCAGTAAAAGAGAAGACCTTCAAAGAGATGGATGGATTCTGTATCTGTGACAATGGGCTCACATGTGTTGGGAATGATAAAGATGGGATAGGATAGGACAGGAGTCTTATTTGACTTAATGGAACTTAACACCAAGGACAAGTTGGTATTAGTTAAACTGGTAGGTGTGTTAAGTCAAGTACAACCATTGCAACCTTGTGAACAATAGATCTGAATCCTGTTCTACCTTATGCCACCTTCATCATCTCTGATACTCTTGAGCCCATTGTCACAGTCACCATGTCAATCAACCTAGCTGGGGGACTTCCACTCTTTTATTAACCCTCTATCTGTTTAAGCATGACATCTCTTTCTAAGGAATGGCCTTTCCTAGCAAAGTGCCCAAAATAGGTGAGACTAAACCTCTTCATTCTTTTCTCCAAAGAGCACTCTGGCTGCACTTTTTCAAGACATATATGTTTGTTCTTTTGGCAATCTATGGGTAATTCTGGCTGCTGAAACTGAGGAGGATCTGAAGCACTTGCTGCAGAAGGTCAGGGACTGCAGTATGGATTGAGGCTCCATATCAAGAAGACAAAGATTCTCACCAATGGACCAATTGACATCATCAGGATGGATGGTGAAGAGACTGAGATTATTCACAGCTTTAGTTTGCTTGGCCCCATGGTCAACACTCTTGGCATTAGATGCCGGGAAATGAAAAGAAGTATTGCAATAGGAAAGTCTGCTGTTAGGGACCTCTCCATAGTACTGAAAAGTCTCTATGGAGACTAAGGTGTGTCTGATACAGACTATGGTCTTTGCAATCACTTGTTATGCACCAGAAAGTTGGACAATGATTAGGGAGGATAGAAGAATTGATGTCTTTGAGCTGTGGTGCTGGAGAAGAGTATTGAATTTACCATGGACTGCTAAGAAAACAAACAGGTTCATCCTTTAGAGGGTTAAACCAGGCTGCTTCTTGGAGGCAAGGATTCTGAGGCTTCATCTGACATACTTTGGACATGTTGTAAGGAGGGACCAGTCCTTGGAAAGGGACATCATGCTTGTGAGGGTGTATGGACAGCGCAAGAAGGGAAGATTCTCTGTGAGGTGGATTGATTCGGTGACTGGGGCAATTGATGTCGGTATGTTAGGGACAGTGTGATTGGTACAGGACAGAGCAGGGTTTAGGGCTGTTGTCCATGGGAGGGTCACTATGTGTTGCAAGCAAATCAATGGCACATAACAACAACAAAAACTTTAAAATTATTTAAATATATGAAATTAACATTTTCAAGCACAATATTACTAAAGATAATAATAAAAAATGGCTAGACCAGTACATTGACAGAGAACACCAGAAGTTCAAGCTGTGTTTATGGAAGGCTATATAACAAGGGTTATCGTTGCTGGTGTCAGATGGACCTTGGCTAAAAACAGAGAACAACAGAAGACTGTGTATTTGCGTTTTATTGACTTTGCAAAGGCTTTATTGACTGTGTGGATCATAACAAAATATGGCTTATATTGGTAAGAATGAGAAACCCAGAACACTTAATTATGTACATATGAAACCAATATGTTTCATGTCTGAACATAGAAAGGGGATAGTGGATAGTGCATGGTTTAAATTTGGGAAATGTGTGCATTAGGGTTATACCCTTTCTCCATATATGTTTAATCTTTAAACTGAGTAAATCATTTGAGAAATCGCACTGTATGAAAAAGATCACAGCATCAGGATTGGAGGAAGACTCATAAATAATTTACATTACACAAATGAAACAGCCTTGGCTGCTAAAAGTGAGGAACACTTTAAATGCTTGCTGCAGAAAATGAAATACAGCCTTCAATATGGGTTGTATCTCAACAGCAACAGTCTTCATCCTTGGATCTATAAACAATATCACATTGAAATAGTCAATGATCTTACATGAATCCACAATTAACACCCTTAATAACAACATTCAGGAGATCAGAATATGTGAGGCATTGGACAACGGTGCAGTCAAGGACCTCTCCAAATTACTGAGAACCAATGATATCAGTTTAAAGTCTATGATGTGCCTGATTCAGGCCATCGTCTTTTGAATCACTTGCTGTGCATGAGAGCTAGAATATGAATACAAATTACTGAAGAAGAATTGTTGCTTTTGAATTGAGTTGTGGTGTTAGAGAAGAGTACTAAATAACCCATGGAATACCAAAAGAACAAATAGATATGTCTTGGGAAAAGGGAAGCCAGAGTTCTTGGAGGCAAGAATGGTCGTTTTGTCTCGCGTATTTTGGGCATGTTGCTAGGAAAGGCTATTCCCTGGAAAGGGACAACATGCTTGGAAAGATGGAAGGTAGGCAAGAGAAAGTAATACCATCAATTATATGGATTGGCACAGTGCCTGCAGCAATGGGCTCAGGTGTTTCAGAGGTTATGAGGATTGCACAAGATAAGATTCAGATGTTTATAGGATCATTGTGAGTCATTCTTGACTATAAGGCACCTAACAACAACAACAAGGCCACTGATATTTATAAGACATGTAAAATATATAAATCTCAAATTTTATCACATTGTCTATTGCAGGCTAAGCTTTATTACTTACTTTATAACATTTCTCATCAGGAGATTGAATGCTTCTCTTGCCGATCTGCAGAAATTGTTGCCATATATTGCAATCTGAAGAACAGAGTTGACATTATTATGGAGTCAGTAACTATGATGTTAGAACTTTAAAAATTGGCTTTTATAGCCATTATGTTAGGCCCCAATAGGGGAAATGGTGTCTATATACCTTAACTGAGGACACATAATCTTGCAAATCATCAACAGCTATGGGACCAATATAAGGAACTGTGAAGTGGGTGTGAAGAAACTGTGAAGATACTGTGACATTATGTAGTCTGAGGAAGCCTGGAGATGGAGTCACAGTTAAAGGTTTTGCTTATTTGATGATTGAAGGAAAAGTTATGACTGTTATGAGACAAAGCTTGCAATGGAGGAGATCAGGGGGTTTTTTTGTACTACTGAATTGCTATGAGACAAAGCTTGCTGGATGACTGAGGAAACCAGAAGTTAGTCTCTGCTGCTGAACTGAAACTGGACTTCACTAGTTGAGGACTTGTGCCTGTGTATCTGGCCTGGGACTGCTGGACTAAACCTGGACCTGTATTGTGTGGTATTCTTTGCCTCTCCCACTCCCCAAACTATTTCCCTAATAAACTCCACAATTTTGAGTAAAGTCTATGAGTCAATTTGCAATGAACATCAGATCCAATGATTGATAAAAATAGACGTAGGAGCATGGCGGGGGGGGGGGCAGGGAGGAAGTGTGCCATGTCTGACTGGTAGCTATTTGTGTGATACTGTGGATGATATCAATGGGTACAATCATCCTTTTTGAAGTGGGTGGAAGTCAGACTCAGCCACCCCCACACTGCATCTGCTTATTTTACAGTAACATACTCCAACTAGACCAGTGATAGGAAAATATAAAATCTAATGACAGGAAGGCCATAAAACTAACAGCCTATCCTGTTTATATCTATTCCTACCCCTTCTTTCTGCCTTTTGAGCTATGGTGAACTTGTGTTCTATTGACTTTGAAGGTAGTTGAAAATAAAATGTGCCTTAGATGCTTGTTGTTGTTGTTAAGTGCCGTCGAGTCGCAGGCGACTCATAGGAACCCTATGAAGGAGAGTCCTCGATGCTTGGGTGCCTTTCATCCTCTCTCCAGGTTCATAGGGTTTCTGGAGGCAAGCTATTATGGAAGTGGATGCCACTACTGCTTCCAACCTTGGGTGCTAGATGTTCTTAAATTGTATGGGAATCAGACAGTTTCATATAGAGGCAGGTTTTTTTCTCTTAAATCTTAGGTAATGGGTGTGTCATTGAAAGATTTTAGTTGGGTTTCTTGATGAATAGGCTGCATACGTTTCTCTTAGGAAACATGTCTTTCACTACACTTGATTTACTTATTTAAAAAGCTGAAATATTCTTACTGGAAACAAATTAAGGACTACTTGAATCTTTGTGCTAAATACTTTTTTCAGACTCTGTCACCGAGATAATGAGCAAATGTCGTTAAAATCATGAATGCTAAATTTTACAAGGTTTGCATTTCTGAATCACCTATTTAATAAGAATATCTCTGCAGCAGTTTATGAACAGAAATCCAAGCACTTTATTAACTTTCATTAAAATATCAATAAAAGAAGAATATCTCTTTAGAAATCTTATTTTTCATCATGGGAAATAAGCAACACATTGATTCATTGACATTTTTCACTTTTCACAATGAGATACATTTAAAAAACTGTTCATTAAGCAAGACATAAATCCTAGAGTTATATAGTTTCTTCTTAGAGTAAAATATAGACTAAATTAATTTTCAATACTTTTAATTTCCAGTGTAAATAATATTTTTCCTCTATAAAACCATATTGAAGATAATAATGCAACAGAGTTTAAGATGCTATTTTAACTAGCAAAGCATAATCAAGAACCATACATTCAATTAAAAACCCCTTTCCAAACATGGTGATAAATAAAGACACATAATGTAAAAGCACTTCAGAGATAGCAGTATAGTCATGAAGTTCAGGTCTGCAAAGAATATGTTTAGGAAATTTTTTGAAAAATTTTCTTACCATTATATAGGCATTTTTGTTTAGTACTTTCACCACTTTTTCCAAACACCAGAAACAGAACTTTAGGCAGCATCGTAGGAATTTAGAAATCTTGTTATGGGCAGCTATGAGAAGAAATAATTTGAATCTGTTAATGATTTGCAACTGAATTCTATGAAAAAAAAAGGAATAAAAATAAGATCTTTAAAAGTATATTCAAAACAGAGTTTACGTGTCTGTAAACAGTATGTGTCAGTTATTACATTTTATATCAATGGTTGTTGTTGTTATGTGCGGTCGAGAGCCCTTGACTCATAGTGACCCTAGGTAAACTAGCCCTAGACCCTGCTCTATCCTGTGCCAATCATCATCTCTGACACACCTACCCCCATTACCCCAGTCACTGAATCAATCCATCTCATTGAGGGTCTTCGTCTCTAGCACTGTCCCTCCACCCTCCCAAGCATGACATCTCTGATGAACTGATTCCACCTTGCAACATGTCAGTATGTCAGAGGAAACTTCAAAATCCTTGCCTCCAAAGAGCAGTCTGGTTTAATCTTCTCCAGGATGAACCTGTTCATTCTCTTAGCAAGCCATGGTATATACAATACTTTTCTCTAACACCACAGCACAAAAGGCATCAATTCTCCTTCTATCATCCCTAGTCCAGCTCTCTGACACATAGCAAGTGATTACGAAGACCATGGCCTGTATCAGGCACACCTTAGTCAATGAAACCCACATTTATAGTTCAAGCCTGATCTATTCTGTCTGGGTTTCAGACCTGGCATTCCCAATCTGATGTCACCATCATGATTCTCACTATTAATGTGCAAAAAACCAGAGTTCTTAATATTCTTTTCCAAATTTGCTTCTTTTTGCTTCCTCTGGTGTTAGGACTTTTAAGAATGAATTTTTCCATCCATCGCCTTAGCTCCCCATGGCGGTATGGTTTCCAGCTACCGCAACTGCAGATATGTGGTTTGCAACATCATTAACAGCTGTGAAGCCAACATAACTAGACTGTAGAGAAACTGTGGCAAGGCCTTACAGAGCCATACACAGCTTGGGCCAGAGCCTTTGAGACATGAACTTCAATACCAGGAAAGAAACAGCAGCAGCAGCAGCAGAAAAAGCAGTTTGTATTCTTTGGGGCCAAGCTTCCTGAACCAGAAGTATCTTGCTCCTGACTGAGATGCTGCTTGAATTAACGGAGGGACTGTGTTTGCTGTTGACTGAGAAGCAGTCTGAATTAATTGAGGTTTTGTACCTTGCTGTTAACCTGATTTGGGACTATTTGCTGAATCTGGACTTAAACTGTATGATATCCATTGCCTTACCCCATCCTCAAATCTTTCTCAAACAAGTTCTAAACTATCAGTAAAAGGATATTCTGTTAAGTCTGTGTAGTCATAGGTAATGAATTTCAGACCCAGTGATTGGTACAAGTAAGTGCAACAGAGTGGGTGGCCATGCCTGACCCTTACAGGGTCAGGATAAATTTTATACTGTGGATATTGTTCGTGGAGACAAGTCCCCTTTGTGGTATTAGGAGAGGTTGTACTAGTTCATCTCTGTGTTGCCACTGTTCCTTTTACACTTTCATATATTAATAAGTGGCAGCAAACTTTTAAAATTAAACCCTCATTTATTAACCTCTATTCTTCCTTCAAGGTTAGCTACAATTTATTGTGATCCACACAGTCAAATGCCTTTGACATGGACTGCCAAGAAAACAAAGGATTTTGAAGTTCTATCTCACATACTTTGGACAAGTGGCCAGGAGTAACCAGTCCACGGGGAAGGATATCATGCTCATAAGAATGGACAGACAATACAGGAGAGGAAGACCCTGGATGAGATGGATTGATATAGTAACTGGAGCAATGGGGGCTGGTGTGTCAGAGTTAGTGAGACTGGTTCAGGACAGGGAAGGGTTCAGAGCTGCTGTACACAGAGTCGCTATACATCGCAGACGATTCAATGACACATAACAAGAGTAAAATGACAGGTTTGGAAGCAGGAGTGGCATCCACTTCCTAAATAACATGCCTCCAGAAACTCTATGAACTTTAATAAATGTTGATGGTTGTAGAAGGGCTTTAGGACTCTTGTTCACGAGGTCATTCTGAGTCATGCTCTACTTGAAGGCAATCAACAGCAACAACACAACATTCTTCCTTCTGTCATCTAACCCCTCAGCATTTCTTGTTGACTTTGCCTTCAAAGCTCACCCCAAATCTTACCACCTCTGCAGTCAAACTTATAATCATCAAGTATCCCCTACTCCTATCCCTCACTTCCTATCCTTACCAAGTGCATTTGACCCAGGCCACAATCTTTCTGATTACTTGCTACGCATCTGAGAACTGAACAATGAATAAGGATGACAGATGAAGAATTGATGTCTTTTATCTGTGGTGTTTGAAAGGAGCACTGAACATCTCATTGATAGCCAAACAAACAAACAAATATGTCTTGGGAGTGTGCAGCTGGAGTGCTCTTTGGAGGCAAGGACAATGAGGCTTCACCTCATATGTTTTGGGTATGTTGCTAGGAGGGGCTATTTGTTGGAGAGGGACATGATTCTTGGAAGAGTTGCAGGCAAAGAAGAAGAAGACCCTTAACCAGGTGGATTGACACAGTGACTACCGCAATGGACTCTAGTGTGTCAAGAAGTGTGAAGATGGCACAAAATAGGACAAGGTTCAGATCTGTTGTTCATAGGGTTGCTATGAGTCGTACTCAACTTGATGGCACCTAACAACAACAACAACAACATTCCTACTACTGCCCCAGTCTTTCTCTACACAAAAGTCAGAAAATCTAAGATAAGGTACATTCTGGTATCTTACCTCTAATGCGGTGGTCCACATATTGTAAAATAATTCTAAACATTTGAACAGATGCAAGAATTAAAGATCCAAATGCTAGAGAACCTGTATGATATCTGGGCAAAGATAAAATGAGAACAGTTAACATGTCTTTACTATTAGTTAAAAGATGCCCTCATTCACTCACTGCTGTCAAGTCAATTCTGACTCTTAATTAGGTTTCTTGGGCTATAAATTGCAATGAGCAGAGACTGCATGCACATCTTTCTCCCACGTAGTCCCTGTGGACTCTCAGCCTTTGCATTAATGGTACAATTTGTTATGGACCATACTGTCAGAGCTCTTTAAAAGGATACGAGTTAATTATATAGACATTAAGTTGGATCGTTTTATTCCAGTTGATAAAAATAAACTTCCAAAGAGGATTTTAAATCTTTGTCTTCCTCTTCCCCAACAAGGTACTGATACCAGTAGCTTGACACTGTTAAAATGCAATATTTGTACTGAACAATGGATATTATGGAGCCAATCTACAGTCTAATTTGGTTATTCCTTTACCTCTTTCCCTGTACAGTGACCCTGACATTTAGAACTGTGGCTATGATACCAACCAAAGCCAGTGGGCACCTTGAATCTTGAATCATACTTTTGACCCACTTTTACCTTTTCACTTGAATTAACCAGCCAACAGAGAATGAAAGCACAATAAATAAAACTAGGACGATAGAGGTAGAGTTCACCATGAAGATTACCTTATGGCTCTTCCAAATGCATTAAAGAGTGGAAATGGTGGAATGTCCTTTGGCTTTTCTGCAGCCCAGTAATAAGAAGCGAAGGCACCAGCAAGGGTACACTGACCCAATGCAAGGACAAAGTTTGTAAGCCAGAGAAAGGCATATAGATTGTACACTTGAAAGATAGTGATGTAGTCATGATACAGGCTCCCTCCACCATAGAAAGCAAAGTTACACATAGCCCCAGGGCAAATTCTGTAAATATCAGTGGAATTAAATATCTGCACTCGGAAAAAAGAAAAGAAAACACAAAGTTAATATCAAATTTGCTGCCATTACATGGTAACATCTTCCTTACCTTCTTCTCTAGCCCCTCAATTACAAGTTCTGTTTTTCTCCATTAGCTTTTGTACTAATCTATTTTCTACTGCATAATTTGAGACACTTTTAATAAGAGTTTGTGTCCTTAACTCTTTAATGAGTTTTATGGGATATCTCATTTTCTAGCATATCCTTTTCACTCTGTACACTTCACATAATTTCACATTTATAGATTTCTTTGATGTTTGAGAGGACAAATGAGATCTTGGGAAGCAAATACAGTGCTTTCTCCATTCTTCCCACTGTTTGCAATGTTCTCATGCTACTATCTGTCCATCTCCCCTTCTGAGCAATGATCCCCTCAATGCACAGGATTTCTGTTTCAGGATATATTACCTACAACAAATGCAAAATGGAATGCTAAAGAAAAAAAAACCATAATAATTCTCTACCAAACTAAGTAGGTAAGAAAGTTTCCTAGACTTACCTCTGGTTCACAGGTTTGATTTTCAAACATACATTGTCCATCAGGGCTTACAACTTTATATACAGGGGAGCCTGATGTAGCCAAGAAACTGAGAAGATTGATTAAGGATATATTTCTTACCTTTATATTAAAAACAAGTAAACATATAAAAAATAATGTAGATAGTTCAAAAGCCCATGAGGATATTAACCTTAAAAATAATTGTTACTGTGTAATATTTTCATAGCTAATTGAAGTTGTTAACAACTTCAGCTTGCTAAGCTCTACAATGAACACTCTTGGCACCAGGAATAAGGAATTCAAAAGAAGAATTATATGTGGAAAGTCTGCAGTCAGGGTCCACTCCTGAGTGCTGAGGGGCAGAGATGTCAGTCTAGAGACCAAGGTCCACCTGATCCAGGCCACAGTTTTTGTAATTACATGCTATACATCAGAGAGCTGGACAATGACTAGAGATGACAGAAGAAGAATTGATACCTTTGATTTGTGGTGCTGAAGAAGAGTACGGAATATACTGTGGACTACCAGGAGAACAAATAGGTCTTGGAGAGGGTGCTAGGATTTTTAAGTTCTATCTCACGTACTTTGGGCACGTGGCCAGGAGGAACCAGTCCTTAGAGAAGGACATCATGGTAGGAAAGGCAAAGGGACAATGCAGGAGAGGAAGACCTAGGATGAGATGTATTGACACAGTAACTGGGGCAACAGGATTAGGTATATTGGAGTCAGTGAGACTGTCTTGAGATAGGGCAGGGTTCAGAGCCGTTGTACATAGGGTCACTATGAGTTGCAGGCAACTTGACAACACCTAACAACAATAAAAAGAAATCCATATTTCAGGTCCAGGATAATATAGAATGGGGCCAGCAATACTGAACAGTCTCTTAAAAACAATAAAATATATGGGCTTCAAAGAAAGTTATTATTGTGAAGACAAATCTGAATCTATTATATGACTATTTGAGGGAAAATTCAGTTGATAAAATACAGACTTTTTCAAAAGGAAAACAAAACAGAACAACACAACACCAACAGCTTACTTCTTTAGGATATCCCTAGTCTTCACAAGGATAGACAACACTATGAACACACACTGGTGGTGTCAGAAGAAGAATGTAGACTCAAGGTTTACAGTAGTAAATTTCTAGCTATTCTTATTAGGTGCTGTTGAGTTACCTGCTACTCATAGTGACCCTATGCACAATAGCTCTTATGAAGTTTTTCTAAAGGCTTTCCAGGTGGATGGGCAATACTATGGGAATAGGGCAGATTGTCTTGACCATCTACAAGGTCAGGTCAGATTCACAGAATCCACAAGGGGATTTGCTATCTTAGCATTAAACAAAAGGATTGGCCAGTCTCAACAATCTACAAGAGGAGTGGCTAGACTTGCGAATAAATTGAACATCTCTAGCCACAGTACTAGACCTTTCTTGTCCTGGCAAAAAAGAAGAAAGAGACTGTAGGATGCCTTTGGAGACCTCACCACCACCATCGGTGAAGAAACCTCACCACTAGGAATCATGAACAAACTAAAGACCTGATGTGAGATGGGACTACCATACCATTAGAACCAGAGCTAAGAGCCTTTGCCCAAGTTTGTAAGACAACATGGGGTGATGGGCCGTAATTAGCAGGAAGGAAAACTTTGTAACATTGGCTAATGCTGGGGTAGGGGATGGCAATATTGTCAGGACTGAGAGCTTTGTAACACTGGCCAAAAGCCATGAAATTCAAGGCAGAGGTGACTGTGAGCACATTTCGGAAGCCATTCTGGCTGCATTCTGCTAATAACTTGAAGTATAACCTTTTGGCTTCCTTAGCATAGTTCTACATGTCTGTGAGTTATTGCATCAGATTTTGGACCGAGAAAAGCAGTAAGATTAGTGTTGAAATGAGTAGAAAGAAGTATGGGATTATATGGGACATGTCTGACCTCATGGGAATTGGTTTTGTGTTACTCATACTGTTGAGGAGACAGGTACCCTTTGTGAAGTTGACAAAGGCCAGACATGGCCATCACCACATGGTCCTTGTTCTTTTTACAGATCTGAATGTTTCTGTATTCTGAGCCAGTCTTATTGTCTCTGACACAAGTACCCCCAACACCCCAGTTATTATGTCACTCCATTTCATCCTATGTCTTCCTCTCCTGCACTGTCCTTCCACACATCCAAGCATGATGTTCTTCTACAAGGACTGGGCTCTCCTGGAAACATGCCCAAAGTATGTAAGACAGAAATTCAAAATGCTTGTCTCCAATCAATCATTTGGTTTCACCCTCTCCAGGACAGAGCTATTTTTTCTCTTGGCTTTCCATGGTATATTCAGTACTCTTCTTCAGGATTACAACTCAAAGGCATCAATTCTTCTATCATCATTAGTCACTGTCAGCTCTCTGATGCATAACAAGTAATTGTGAAGACCATAGCATGAATCAAGTGCACCTTATCTCTACACATCATTGCTCTTCAGCACTCTGGAGAGAGGTCCTTGACAGCAGCTTTTCCTAATGTGCTTCATTTCTTTATATATTTGTTTTGTGGTGGTTTTTATTTTTTTTATTTCCTAAATGCTGGTACCAAGAGTGTTGATTGTGTAACCAAGCAAGCTGAAATTGTTGACAATCTCAATCTCTTCTTCATCTATCATGAGAATGGGAAGTTCTGGGGACCTAGTGGTAAGAATTTGTGCTGTACTTCCAAAGGCATGTAGTTTGACCAACTGAGAGAAGGATGGGTAATCTCCTCCCATGTGATTTAGTTTCTCTGAAAATTTGAGGGCTAGCTATGGGTCAGTTTCAGCTCAAAGACACACAACAACAGTACCAATAGTGTGATTTCTAGCTAATTGTGGTGTTGTTTGGTGCCGTCGAGTCGTAGACGACTCATAGCGACCCTGTGAATGAATGGCCTGAGCACTGTTCGTACATAGAGTTTCCGGAGGCAAGCCATTTCGGAAGTGGATGCCGCTCTTGCTTCCAGGCTTGATTTAGTCGGGAAGTTCCAGCCAACACGGTCCACCATGGGTACCCATTACTACGATTGGCACATCACTGTCACAGGCTTCAGCATCACAGCAACCATGAGTTACCTCTGTACAGCAATGCACAGACCAGTGCTATACCACCTAGAAAAATGTTTGACAAGAAAACAATTTGAACCTGGCCGAGGGCCGCAGATGAAAATCACCCACCTTCGGCTTGGGAGCATAACTTCCTTTCCAGCTAATAGAGAGATGCAAATAAAAACAACAATGAGATTTCAATTCAACCTATCAACATACCAAGGATAAACAGAATGGCAAACAACAAATGTTGGTGAGGATGCAGAGAGATCTGAACTCTTATCCCTTGCTCGTGCAAGTGTAAAATGGTACAACCACCATGAAAGCCAGTCTGACACTTCCTCAAAAAGTTGATAATAGAAGTATCAATTGGCCCAGCCAATTGACTACTGGGAATATACCCTGAAGAAATCAGAGCTGCAACACACAAACAGATTTGTGTACACTCATGTTTCCTATAGCATTTTTCACAGTAGCAAAAATGTGGAAGCAGCCCAAGTGTCTATCAACAAATGAATGCACAGGGAAACTGTGGTACATTCACACAGCGGAATATTTCTCAGCATTTTAAAACAATTTTTGCAGAATTTGCAGAACATTACACAACATAAATGAGTCTGGAAGACATTAAGGTGAGTGAGATATCACAGTCACAAAAGAACAAATACTACATAAGACCGTTATAACAATAATATGGATATAGGTTGGGGGAGAGCAGGAAAATGAACACTGCACTCTAATGGTGAAGAGGACAATCTGAAAACAATGCATCATTAGACATTGTTGTTATTGTTATGTGCCATCGAGTTGCTTGCGACTCATAGCAACCCTATGTACAACAGCCCTAAACCCTGCTCTATCCTGTGCCAATCGCACTGCCTCTGACACACCCATCCTGAGTACCCCAGTCATTGAATAAATCCACCTCATAGAGGGTCTTCCCCTCCTGTGCTGTCCCTCCGTCCTCCCAAACATGATGTCCCTCTACAAGGACCTGTCCCTCCTTACAACACGTCCAAAGTATGTCAGACGAAGTCCCAGAATCCTTGCCTTCAAGGAGCAGCCTAGATTAATCCTTTCCAGGATGAATCTGTTTGTTTTCTTGGCAGTCCATGGACCCTCAACACTCTTCTCCAGTACCACAGCTCAAAGGCATCAATTCTCCTTCTATGCTCCCTAGTTATTGTCCAACTCTCTGATGCGTAACAAGTGATTGCAAAGACCATAGCCTGTATCAGATGCACCTTAGTCTCCAGAGTGACACCATTGCTTTTCAGTATCCTGGAGACGTCCCTAACAGCAGACTTTCCCATCACAACACGTTTTTTTATTTCCTGGCTACTGGTACGAAGAGTGTTGACTATCGAGCTAAACAGACTAAAGTTGTTAACAATCTCAATCTCTTCACAATCCATCCTGATGCTGCCAATGGCCCAGTGGTGAGAATCTTTGTCTTCCTGACATTGAGCCTCAATCCATACTGATGGCTGCAGTCCTTGACCCTCTGTAGCAAGTGCATCAGGTCTTCCTCAGTTTCAGCAATCAGGGTTGTGTCATCTGCATAACACAGATTGTTAATAGATCTTCCACCAATCCTGATGCCACACTTCTCTTAAGAGAGTCCAGCCTCCTGGATAATTTATTCTGCATACAGGTTGAAAAGGTATGGGGACAGGACACATCCCTGGCGTACACCTTTCACAATTTTGAACCATGCAGTGTTTCCCTGCTCTGTTCTGACACCTACCTCTTGGTCCAAGTATAGATTTTGCATTAGAACGATCAAGTGTTCTGAGTTTCCCATTCTTCTCAGAGTCAGCCAGTTTGTTATGATCCACACAGTCACATGACTTCACATAATTAATGAAACACAGATATGCGTTCCTCTGGTATTCCCTGCTTTCAGCTAAGATCTGTCTAACACCAGCTACAATATCCCTAGTACTACGACCCCTTCTAAACCCAGCCTGGACTTCTGGCAGTTCTCTGCTGATGTGCCGTTCCAGTCGTTTTTGGATAATCTTTATCCATTATCATTATCCTTTATCATTAGACATTAGAAGTATGAAAGTCTGGAACAGGTCATATATTACAAAATGAACCAGAGAAAGGGGAGGGAGGAAAAGTTGTATGAATGAATGATGAAAAACAAAAAATTAAAGCTTATAAAAAAAAGCTTTATAATAAAAAAGTAAGAAATAGCCAATTTTCAAAGGATACGCTGCTGTCACAGCCCAGTAGGAAATGCAGATTGAGATCAAAATGAAAGTCAAAACTGGATAAAATAAGGTACTGGGGACATATGCAACCGCTCTGAAATAAAGCAAATAGTTTAAATTTAAAATGATATTCAGAACTCTAGTTTCTCAATTAAATTGTTCTCTGTTAGCAGACTTTGAGCTGAATTAGTTCTATAAACAATATCAATAACCACTGCCTTAGAAAAATCCACTCCCTCTTTTTTCTGGATGATGATCCAGGCATATTAACTAATGTACGTGGGTTGTTGGTTTTTTGTTTGTTTTTTTTTTAACTTTTTTTTAATTTTTAGGCATATTTTTCGAGGGGTCCTGTATAATTTGTGCCAGAAATTTTCCCAACTCTCCCTACTACCTGTGTTTAGATTTTTAAGCTCATAAAATAAGAGATGACCTTGAAGATCATCATAAGCTCTGGTTAAATTACTGGACTGCTAACCAAAAGATTGCCAGTTCAAACTCATCAATAGCTCTGTAGTGAAAGATAAGGCAGTCTGCTTCTGCCAAGAAGGTCCTGTGGGGACATTCTACTCTGTCCTACAGGGTCACAATGTGTTTGAATTGATGCAATGACAGTGAATTTTCGAAGATCAGTAATTCAACGGTAATAATCCCTTTCTAAATCAGAAATCCTTTCTTTGAGAAGTCCCATCTTTGAAAAGTCTTCACTAACCTCTGGTGAGCATATTGATTGGTGGGAAATTATTTTCACATATCACAGCTTATTCTATTTTCTTAACAACCAAATTGTTGGTAAGTTCTCTGTGTGTCTGCTTGTAACTCATATCTTGCCTTTTGAAGAACTGACAATTTCTACGCTTTTCCCACCTGGCAGCATTTCACAAATGATTCCTTACTCTTCTCTTTTCATCTAATGATTTCTTAGCTATTTCCTTACATAGGGCCTGATTTAATAAATTTTTAGGATTCTCAATGCTCTGTTCCTGACTTGTCCCTTTAAAATTCCTTTTCACTTTATGACACCGGACGAGGACAGTGCTACTTGATATAACCACTGAAAGAATAAGATTAAAGAAGTAACCTTTTCTAATCTATTTTACCTTTGATATATCTTCAATTGTTTTTGCATCTGTTACCTTCTTTGCTTTTTTTAAAAAAATAACTCCTTTGTTTTTAGTTGAGCTACACCGTTCCCTCATTTTGCCCGTTTTAGTGACCACCTCTAGATGTTTATCCTGCATTTTTACGCCTATTCATTCAAGATCTTACTTTTGTGCAATATATCAACCTGTCCCTGGCCTTTAAGGGATCATTTTCATCAGGAGGAAAACCAAAATCCTGATTCCTACTGAAAGTCTAAGAATCAGAAAATTAGAATTTAAGGGTTCTCCCATCCTCACAGTTCTAAGCTAGACTCGCACATTATTAAAGGCAAACAAGTGGAGCAACTCACACAAAATTGCATATCATACAATTTAAGTAATAAACCCAGTAAATCAGCAGTTTTCAGTGGCCAATCACAGGGCTTCAGATATTTTGGAAAAGAAAGAATTTAATTTGACAAACTGCTGGACAACTATTTAAACCAATGGCTTTATATGACATTATTGTAATTATTATTATGAATGGTAATTTTGTTAACCTAAACCTTCAAGGGAATTTTAAATGTGTTGGTCCAGAGTCATCAAAAACTGAGTTTCCACCATTCTAAATAGAGAGCATGGTCTGTTGGCTTTATACAAATGTTTTCTTGTTTACATTAAAAAGTTAAGAGTTTTGTTCTCAAGTGACTTTATAGAGTCTGTCTTATTATCTCTCAGCATGAATAGTATGAAAAATTTAATGTGTTTATTTTGTAGCTCTTTTGGGAATGAAAATGGCTCTGTGTATGAAGAGTTCCTGAATAATGAGCCTTAGGGAAAACATGGATAGTTGAGTGCCACTAGAATCAATTATTATTCTTTTAGCAAATTTCATGCAAGATCAGCAAAAGTATGTAATTGGCTTAATAAAATTAGAATGAATTAAAGTTTTGCAAATGATCTCAAATGTTGATATTAGCATATAGCCACATATAAAAATAAAATAATATATGTTGTTGTTGTTGTTTATTGCCTTCAAGTCGAGTATGACTCATAGGGACCCTATGAACAAAAGGCCTAAAGCCTTTCTATAAATAATATCATTTCTCCAAGTTATAGCTAACTTTAAGATAGTACTTTAGCACTTAAATATACTTTATTTTCCTAACATGTATTTTGTTTGCTCTCGCTCTCTTACACGTACGCAAAGGCAAGTAGACTAGGTAAGGGGTTTTCCTTATTTTTTACTATAAGAAAGGAGGTTTGGAAAATCAAAGGACTTGTTTGTGTGGCCTTATAATGAGTGGTAGAGCGTACAGTTGAACAATTTTTTAAAATTGGTTGTTTTTATAAAGGAAATATAACCCAAGGTATCTATGGAGTGGACAATGAACAGTTTAACCAATTATTTGAGCTTTTACATCAAAGATCTTACTTGCTTCCTTCCTTCAGCAGTGCTATTGTAAGGCGGATTCTGTGCCTGAGGAAGATCAGCGTGAAGATGATAATTACTTCAATGGTGCTGAGGATTATCACTTGAAACAAACAAGAAAACAAACAAAATCAGATCTATCATGCAAATCAATCCAAAACAAACTTTCTCAGCAAGAATTAGGGCAGACTATTATAATAATGTCTGTCAATTCTGATACTTTGTTCAGTACTACGTTATGAAGGTGGTTTATTGGTGTGTGCTCTCTAGTTGCCTGTGACTTATAGTGACCCCTATGCACAATAACTCTGATGTCTGCTCTATCCTAAGCCAGTCTCAGTGTCCCTGATACACTGATCCCCTTCACCCCACTTACTGTGTCAGTCCATCTCATCCAGGGTCCTTCTCTCCTTGCCTGTCCCTCGGTCCTTCCAAGCAGGATGTCCTTTTCCAGGAACTGGTCTTTCCTGGCCACATACCCAAAGTATGTGAGACAGTTTCAAAATCCTTGCCTCCAAGAAGCAGCCTGGTTTCACTCTCTCCAGAAAAATCCCATTTGTTCTCTTGGCAGTCTATGGTATGTCCAATACTCTTCTCCAGCACCACAACTCAAAAACATCAATTCTCTTTCTATCATCCTTGCTCATTTTCCAGCTCCTGGTCAGACACACCTTAGTATCTAGGATGACATCATTGCTATTCAGCACTCTGGAGAGGTCTTTGACAGCAGACTTTCCTAATGAAATTTATCTTTTAATTTCCTGACTGTGGGTACCAAGAGTATTGGTGGTGGACAGCTTCTGAAAAATCTGCTGGGGGATCAGTCATTAATCAGTTCCAACTCAAGGACACGTGACAAGAACATTAACAACAGCTAAGGCGACTCAATGGCACGTAACAACAGTCTTGCATACTTCTTCATGTGTTTATTGGCCTTCTAAAAGTATTCTTTGGTGTAGTGTCTATTC